CTCGCGCTGGGAGTTGGAGACTGGAGCTGTTCCTATTCGGCCATCTTGCTCCGCCCCCTGGGAATAGGTCTTTTCAAGACAGTAATGTTGAATCAGAAACTTTTTTCAGTATTCAATAAAGATACTTAAAATGTCACAGGGTAACTCAGAAGTATTTAAGATTAAAATATTGCAAGGTAACTGAGAGTAGCGTATACTTGAGTTATTCCTTCTAACTCCACAGGGTGAAATGACAAAAATCTTCATACACCCTTCCTCTTCAGGTATTGTGTAGTTGGCCTTGAGACAGAAGCCTTCACACAGTAGAAGTTCTGGCCCTCATTTGGGTGCACAAGCATGATGCAGTAAGGCCTGTCTTTTGGTGCCTGGGGAAGCAATGAGTGGTAGTAGGAAGAATCAGCTTGGGAACCAGACAGATGGGGGATTTGAATCTTAGGTCTGCTGTCGATAGCTTTCTGATCTTGCGCCAAATCACTTAACCTCTCTCACCTGGAGTTTCTCCATTAATAAAATCGGCTATAATATCTACCTTATGTAGTTTTGTGAGAATTAGGAATAATGTGTGGGAAGTGCCTGGCAGAGTAGGCATTCAGTAAATGGCAGGCAATGTTATTACTTCAGTGTTGTACTTGTGTTGGTTATCATACTGTGGTAGCCATGTTGTAGTAGGTAACTGTGACTTTCATAAGTCAAGCATCACAGACTGAATTGGTTGTGGAGACTAGTCCTACATTCTTCCTTCTGATGCTATTACCCATGCGTGTAGTGCGTGTAATTAACCCACAGTTTCAGAGCATTTCATGTTGCACCGTATAAAATGTAGGAATGGGGCTGTCTACTCTCTTTTTTGCCCTTGTGTGGCAATAATATGTGCTTCAGAAACATTAAGGAATATATCCTATTAAGGCTATCCTAAATTGTTTCCATTTCTCACAACCATATAAAATGGGAAATTTTATTAACCCTCATACTTCCATAGTGTGGATAACCTAGTTTTCCTGTAAGTAAATCTGCATAAAAACTAATATGTATTCTTATTCTGCTTTATTTAAAGTTTTAATCGTTCTCCAAATGTGCTGAGCTTGTATTTTATCAAATCCTTGCCATTCTAATTTTCCCATTATAGAAAAGATAAATGAAATTTCAAAATCTTTGTGTTCAGTTCATCAAACATTTATTGGCTATGTGCCAAGCGCTGTGCCTGGTGCAGACTAAGAAGATAAAATCTAATATCTGCTTTCAACTTGCTTACGTATGGGTGAATAAGGGGCAAAACAAACATGTAAATATAAATATGAGGATAGTGTGATACATCATTATGCAATCAAAGAGGAAGGGTTCCAAATATTAATTACATTGAAATATGAATAACGTCACTGTGGTTGATCAGTAATTGAAATGTTTAACCTGTTTAATAGCTTGTATCATGACTTGACTGGATGTCTTTTTTCTTGTTAAAATCTATGCTATTCTAGGTTTTTACATTTTCAAACATATTTAGAAAAATTTTAAGTTATTTCTACTTAAGAAAATTTATTAGCTGGGCGCAGTGGCTTACACCTGTAATCCCAGCACTTTGGGAGGCCGAGGTAGGTGGATCACGAGGTCAGGAGATCAAGACTGTCCTGGCTAACATGGTGAAACCCCGTTTCTACTAAAAATACAAAAAATTAGCCAGGTGTGGTGGCACACACCTGTAGTCCCAGCTACTCAGGAGGCCGAGGCAGGAGAATCGCTTGAGCCTGGGAGGCAGAGGTTGCAGTGAGCCGAAATTGCACCCTGCACTCCAGCCTGGTGACAGAGTGAGACTCCATCTCAAAAAAAAAAAAAGTGTGTGTATGTATATATATACACATACACACACACACACATATATATTTGCCCTTTAAGAATAGTCTTAAGAATAGAAAGTGATGACACCTGTGCATGAATTCTTTTTTTTTTTTTTTTAGTGAGAATCCCCTCAGGATGACTAAAAATGTATACTACTCTCCCGTGCCAATTTTTAAAAAATTCTGATTCATGGAAATCTCATCAACCTGTTGTCTGGGTTGCATAATTATCAGCCTTGCCTGATAAAATGAAATCAGACATTCTCAAGGAAATGGATTTTGCCTCTTTGGGAATGATATGACAGGTGCCAAAACGTCTTCATTTATGATATGCTGAATTCGGAGAAGCTCAGCTATACTAGATTTTCAGTAATGCTAGATCATAATATTTATTCCCATTTCATTTTTTCTTTTAAGAAGTACATTCTTTGAAGTATATTTTCCTTGCATTGACATTGACATTGACAAAATGGAAGTAGTGTTTTATCATTAGTAACTTCTATAGATTGCTGTTTCATATAGAGCATTTTTAGTCACTGAGCAGGTATCAGAAGAATTTCAAGTAGTTATTGTTTTCTTTTCAGTGGTGGTTCTATGTATAATTCGGATACAGATGAGGATGAAGAAACTGAGCCTTCTTCTTCTGGGCAACAGATAATTGAAAATTCAATAACTATGAATAAGATGAAGCTGCTAAAGGCTAAGATGAAGAATATGAATCTCAGCAAAAAGGTGAAGCTGTTGGCATTTGGCCAGGCTTATCTCTTGCTTACCCCTGCAGGGCACTCAGCAATAAGGTCTGTTGGTCATTGTGAAAATATTATAAAGTATTATTCATTTCAGGTTTCTGGCCTCAGTTATTTATTAAACTTCTAAAAGGGATAAATTGTTTTTTTTAGATTAGAAGCACACCTGAAGGGATTATACTGCACGTAATGTAATTCATTATTTTAAAGATCATCCTGGGTCTAAGAAGGATAAAAAAAGAGAGCTTAATCTTAATCTTGCAATAATTACTTTTTAAAAATATGTTAATAGTTATTTATTATGGATAAAGATATCTACTATTTAGTAGATAGTGTCAGTTTTCCAAAGTGATTGAACCAGTTTACATTCTTTACAACAGTGAATGAGAGTTGCCGTTTTCCCATATTCTTCCCAGTATTTGGCATGGTCCTTTGTAATTTTTGTAATTCTGCTTTGTAGTGGCATCACATTGTGGTTTTAATTGCATTTCTCTGATGAGACCTGGAAGGTTGAGCACCTTTCATACGTTTATTGGGCATTTGGATACGCTTTTTAATAAAACACCTATATTTTTCCATTTTTCTGTTGGGTTGTATGTTTTTTGTTACAGAATTTTTTTGGAGTTTTATATAAATTCTAGATAAAAGTCCTTTGTTTCATATTACCACTTTATGGCTTTCCTTTTTACTCTATTAATGGTTCCCTTCCTTTTAATATATAATAAAATTCAAAAATCTTTAATATATGACATGATGAATTTTTACATTTATATACACTCATGTAGACACAACCCAAGTTAAAATAGGACCTTTCACTCCAGAATGTTACCTCATAATATTTCCCAGTTAATATCTACCTTTTCCCACTCTCAGAAATAACTACTGTTCTTACATCTATTACCATAAATACGTTTTTCCTATTCCTGAAATTCATATAAATGGAATCATAGATAATATGGTCTGGTTTCTTTTGTTCAACATATTTGTTTGATTTATCCATGTGGTTGCATGTATCAGTTAATTCTTTTTTATTGTTGTGTACTATTGTACTATGTGATTGATTTACCTCAATTTGCTTCTCTCTTTTCCTTTTGATGGACATTTGAGTTGTCTCTAGCTTTTGGCTTTTATCAGTAAACCTGCTTTGAATATTCTCATACATTCTTTGGTGGACATATGCGCTTGTTTCTTTGGAGCATATACCTAGCAATGGACTTTCAGAGTCAGAGGAGAGATATGTGTTTAACTTTAGTATCATGCCAAACAATTTTGCCAAGCATTTGAACCAATTTACACTCTTACCAGCAATGTGAGAGTTCTAGTTTATGCCACATTCTTGCCAACACTTGATATTGTCAGTCCTTTTAATTTTAACCATTCTGGTGACTGTGTAAATGGTTTTCATTTATATTTCTCTAATGAGGAATAATGCTGACTTTTCATGTGATTATTGACCATTAAGATTTTGTGTGTGTGTGAAGTGCCTGTTCAAGTCTTTTGTTTATTTTTAAATTGAGTTCTCTGCCTTTTGCTTATTGATTTCTAGGCATTTTTGTATACTGTGGATACAAGTCCTTTGTCAGATACGTGGGTTGCAGATATTTCTAACACTCTTTGGTGACTTGTTCTTTTACTTTCTTATTCTTTTGGTGAATGTTTTTAATTCTATTCTAATTTATCAGTTTTGCTTTTGTTTTTTTTTTTTTTTGAGATGGAGTCTCACCCTGTCGCCCAGGCTGGAGTGCAGTGGTACGATCCCTGCTCACTGCAACCTCCACCTCCCGAGTTCAAGCAAT